TGACAATGACCAGCATCTACCTTCTCTGGAGTCACCTAATTCTGAGGTCGCTGAGTGTCAGAAGCCACAGGAACGAGCTGCAGCTGGGGGCAGGGGCCACCACTGTCGCTGCATTGTGTAGCTTCCCTTCTCCTCCACCCCATCCTCCTCCCCTCTGAGCAAAGGGTCAGTTACTCTTATCTGGTCCCTAAAGTCATTAGTTCAATCCCACAGCCCACGGACTGAGTTCAGGGAGACAGCCATTAGGACAGTCAGGCTCTGGAGAACTCCTGGCTGCGGGAATCCCAGCAGAGTCTCCATCAGCAGTCAGAAGGCCCGAGGACCACAGGCAGCACCTCCACGCCTCTCCCCTACACCCCATCACTCCTACCTTACTTAAGGCTGCCTGAAAATCTCAGTTTAGCAGCCTCCCATCTGGTGTCTTTCCCCTCCAAACGAACACTTTCTAGACTTCTGTCTAACCGTGTCTCCATCAGGCAGTCCTTTAGTGCAGTGTCCGGCGTGTGCTGGAGCCAGCTCCTGCAGGCGTGCAAGCCGACTGCGTACCCAGCCCATCCTAACTCTGAGCTCAGTGGTGTGGAGCTGGTAGGCTGAAAGTGGCCACGATGGGAAAACTTACACCACAGCAATGGACAAAGACTACAAACCAGAGCTCCTGTACCTGGTCTGACCTCAGTAAAACTCATTTGCCAGCACAGCACTGAGTGGTTCCCATATTTTCCTGCACATTGGAGTCACCTACGGGTCTTCAAAAAGGACGGCTACCTGGCTCCTGGCCCCAGATATCGTGACTTAATCTGTATAGTATCAACCTGGGTATCAGGATTTTTCAAGCTCCCAGGGGAGTCTTCCGAGCAGCAAGGTTGGGAGAACTGCCTGGGTAGCTGCTGGTGTGGGATGCAGACTCCTCAGTGTAGGGTCCACAGGGCCTTGACCAGGCCCTGCTCACCTCTCCCATCTGTCCTCCCATTCCCTTCATACCCAGGACTCCAAGAAGCTATCCAAGACACTCCCTGATTCTCTGTGATCCCAGGGGTTACAATATCTGCACCCACAGTTCCCTCTGCAAGGGCTGCCTTCCTTGCCTGAGTGCTTCTTCCTCACCCCTCAGCCGTCTGGAGCCTTGGGCAGCCTCCCCCGATACCCTGAGCCTGGGAGAGCTGCCCTGGGGTCCCTGCCTTCCTCCAACATGGCTCTATCTACGCAACACTGCCATGTCCTGGCCCCTGCTCCTTGAAGGCAGGGACTGTATCTGATCCCCTGTGCCCCATATACCTGGGAGATGCTCAGTGAACATCTGGGATGAATAAATGGCTTCAGTTGGAGTTACTGATTTACCAGGAGTCTGTGTGGGATGACAGATAAGACCCCCCAGGAAGCTGTCTTCATGTCATCACATGTCATGGCGTCCCGGCGAAGACAGGAGGAAATTCCCATTCAGTGCTCAGGACACCAAGAGCCATATTTCTCTGAGGCCGCTGGTGGTTTTATCTCCTGGGTGCCATCATTTGTTTCTATTAGTATCAATATCGGCTGCCATTTTGAGCACTTTTTAGGTTCTAGATACTGTGTTAAATTCTTTTTTTTTTTTTCTGAGAGTCTTACTCTGTTGCCCAGGCTGGAGTGTAGAGTGGTGTGATCTCAGCTCACTGCAAACTCCACCTCCCAGGTTCAAGTGATTCTCCTGCCTCAGCCTCCTGAGTTACTGGGATTACAGGAACCTGCCACCATCTGGCTAATTTTTGCATTTTTAGCAGAGATAGGGTTTCACCATGTTGGCCAGGCTCATCTTAAACTCCTGACCTCAAGTGATCCATCCACCTTGGCCTCCCAAAGTGCTGGGATTACAGGCATGAGCCACCGTGCCAAGCCAAATTGTCATATTATGCTCATTAATCCTCTCTAGAACCCTATAAGATAGGTATTGTTAGCCCCATTTTACAGAAAAGTAAACTAAGGCTTGGCACAGATAACCTCTCAAACACACATGGTTACGAAGTGGGGGAGCCAGAGCTTGAATTAGAGCCCAGGTCTGCATAGCTTCAAAGCTCATCACTTTCATAAACTGGCTGTGATTGTGGTTCTTTCTGTGGTGGCTGTGGGGAAACTTGGAACAAGTATCAGTTTCCTTCCCACGTGCACAGGACCTACGACACGCACTGTGGGCACCAATTCCACTCGTTCCCTTCACCCTAACCTCTTCACTTATTTTCGAAACAGTTAACACTACAAGCCATCCATCTCATGTCCTTTTTGGAACACAAAAAGGTACACACAAAAGTGCCCATCCTGGAATCACGCATCCACGAACTTGGCCAGTGGTTTCCAGCAGGGAAGAGGGATGATAGGACAAGAGGGGTCTATTCTACTCAGCATCCTCCTCGGTTTGGTTCAGTTGCAGGAAACTTCAAAACACAGACTGGACTTAGCTTGGCAGGGCACGTGTCTGTACAGCCCTACTGGGGGAGGAAGAGTCTACAACGACCAGGGAGCAAAGCTGTCAACCACAGACACAGATCATAGATTCTCTAACCAGCTAGACGAGGGAATAATTCGCTTGAAGGGCTATTTATAAACTGCACGACCCATTTACACAGTAAAAATGAAATTTATTAAAGGTACACAGCTGCTAGAAATGGAGTCGGGAAGTACTGAAGGCGCCGTTCCAGGCAAACACGCAGAAAAACCCTCATCCACGGCCCTCTTCCCACCCCGCCCTATCCTGCTGGGCTCTGGGTCTCCAACGGCAGCTGCCAAGAAGGGACCACATGGCAACCTAACATACAAGCTACTCTCCCAGAATCTTTGCACTTTTCATCTAACCTAAGTGAAGGAGGAAGAGAAAAAGCTCAAAGTGGAGAAAAATAACTAGAAGCGGCCTTGGGCTTGGCAGTGAGTTCAAGCCGGTGAGGGTAGCCCGCCATGACCCTGCCCTCCTGGCCTCCTCTGAAGATGACTCAGTCTCTCTTTGATGAAGAGTGGTATTTAGAGGCTAAGCACGGGTATTAGGCCCAAAGGTTAGCAAGTCCTTAGTAAATGAAGGAACACTAAAGCCTTCTGAAACGTGTTTTGAAGAAACCGTGGAGGCCAGGCGCGGTGGCTCATGCCTGTAATCCTAGCACTCTGGGAGACCGAGGCAGGTGGCTTACTTGAGGTCAGGAGTTCAAAACCATCCTGGCCAATGTGATGAAACACAGTCTCTACCAAAAACACACAAAAAATTAGCCGGCATGGTGGTGGGTGCCTGTAGTCCCATCTACTTGTGAGGCTGAGGCAGGAGAATCACTTGAATCTGGGAGGCGGAGGTTGCAGTGAGCCGAGATCGCACCACTGCCTTCCAGCTTGGGTGACAGAGTGAGACTCTGTCTAAAAAAAACAAAAACAACCTCTGTACTGAGAGTTAGAGTGAGGAATGGATGAATTTCAAAGGGTCCTTCCCAAATCCTAAGAATCCATCGTGACCATCCCCCTAACGTTTGGATTTCCACCAACTTTACCTGAGACACAGCCCGGTCTCCCTGTCGCCTTTTTGTGCCATACTCATCCGATCAATTCTTTCATTCTCCTGAAGACAGAGCGTAAACTCCTCTTTTAAAGAAAAGCAAGTTTTGAAAACCTTTTTGGAATGTCTGGAATGAGAAATCTACAGATAAAGTAGGAGAATTGCGAGACCTGGAGGGCATGGGAGAGACCACTAATGAGGACAAAGTTTTTTAGTGGTGATCAAAGTGCCCTTAGATTACAGTGGTGTTTACACAACTCTGTAAGCTTTAAATGGGTGTGTAAGTTATACCACAATAAAGCTGTTTTTCCAAAAACCTCCTCTGGGCAGTCATCCCAGGAGCTTCTGTGTCACAATTGTCCTCGGGAGTGTTTCTCCAGAGGCCACCAGTCATGTCGGGCAGCATGGTGGTCTCTTTCTAGTGGAAAGACTGAATATTAATCAAGCCTTTTCTCTCCACCAGAGCATGGAGCCTAAACGAGACCTCCATTTATCCATCTCACTGCCCAGGCTGACCAGGTACTTCGCCAATGCTGTCAGCACAGCGTCCCAACAGCCAAGGGGTCAAGTGACTCACCTGCTCCTGGCACAAGGTCAAGTCAAGGACCAGGCTAAGAAGCTGAACCCAAGACTGGGGACCCTGAGTCCAGTGGTGTCAAACCCACCCCCCCCTCCGCCACCCCGGAACCTGGCAGATGGCACTCTGGGCCCTGCTAGCCACTGGCTGGCAACCCAAAGGCAGTCACACGAGAGCTGTCGGTAAGAAGAGCCTTGAGGTGATACAGGCCCTGGCACCCACGTCCCCTCACGATAGGGAGGGGACTGGAGACTAGTGGGGAGGCCCCTCCAGTCCACTCGGCCCATAACCCACCTTGTTAAAGACCCTGGTGAAAGAGGAAGCGTGTCATTCCATTGACGACAAATGTATTCTTGGAATGTGTCCCTACCCTGAGCTCTTCCCAGGAGAAAGAATGCCAAATCTGTCTGGCACTGACCAGAGCCCTGCTTTGGATGGCAAGGGGTATTTTTAGAAACCACGGGAAGGCTGTACACATCTCGCGTGGCCCCTTGACAGGCGGCAGCGGGTGCCAGACCTATGCAGCCACAGAGCCTGCCTGAAGCCCTCTACAAGAGTCACCGCTCTCAGAAACGTCCTCAGTACACAGACTCTGGGTCTCACCTCAGGCAGCGCTAGCCAGATACACTTCGTGGGACTCCCTCAGCAGGCTTCACTCACTCGAGTCAGCGGCTTTACACAGCACGCTTGCCCACCAGAAACAAAGGGGTATGTTTTCTATACACATGTGCACGCACGCACACACACACCCACACACGTGTACACACTTCAACAGCTCAGCTCAACACATCAGGGCCGAGGAAAGAGACTAGAAACTATGCCACGAAAGGAACGTGTTAAAAGAAACATTCTGCAGCTTCTGAAGGGAAGGGCAGGGCGGACAACATCACAAGAGGACATTTAAGATTTTTCACAACCTACCTGAAGCCCTGGCTGCTCCCAAAACAGTGGAACCGAGCCTCTGATCTGGACAAAAGATGACACTCCATCGTCCATGTAAATCGTCTGCGGCACAAGGAAACAGAAGGGAGAGGGCTTCTCAATGAAACCGAATGTCCTGGGCTGGGTAACCGGATCCAGCTGCCTGTGACCTGACACCAGCCGGAATGAAGGGCAGACGGTGGACTTCAGCGTCCTCTGCTCCCCCACCTGGCATGGCTGGTGATGCTTTCTGACCTCTGGCTGGATGCTGCGTGGGCATGCTGGCTGTTGACCAGCCTCTGAAGAAGGGTCTGCAGGGGGATCAGGTCTCCCAGGCCCTAGCGCCTCTCGGGGTGTCCAGGAATTCACACTTCAGGGGCAAAATCTTATCACTGCCCTGAAAATCCCAGCCACAACCCTCTGCCACTTTTGTGGCACCATTGCCTTTTGTGAATACAAGCCAATGTGTTCTGGAATTTCCCCTTCTTTATAGTCCTCTATTTTTACCTTGGGGAATAGCTAAGCAGCAGAGAGCTATTAGAGAAGGACTGGATGAAATGAAGTGCACCCGTGATAGCCAAAAGGCCTCACTGACTGTGCCAGCCAGTCTTGTACTTGACAATACAAGACTCAGCTTGACTGTGTACTTGGTCCTGACCCTGCCCCACTGTGTTCTCAAACACACCACCCAGTCAGCACACACAACACGGTTTCCACAGGCTTCCAGTGCGACAGCACCTGCAGAGAAATAAATGATCCTTACACTTTAAGACATCTATCTCCTCCCCACCCACATACACAGCTATTTCAGAGTGTGCCTGCAGGCCTCCAATGACTGCAAGGGAGTTTGAAAAGGACAAGAAGTACAATCCTGAGCGCCAGCGGGGGCACGCGGCGGTACTTATCAGATGCGGGGCTTTTATCTGCGCAACTCTAGCCTGGCCTGGCAGGGCGGCCTGGGCGCTGCTGTGGTCCTTTCCATTCCTCACTGGCCTGCTCCCTTACAGGGTAGCTTTCCATGCAGGCGAGATCACGCTCAGATCACATAGGCATGAGTCGCTCTGCAGTGGAGGACCTGAAAATTAGACCCAATGTTTCCCCGGACCACAGGAATTACCAGAGCCTGGAATCTGTATTGTCAAACTGGAATTGTATTCTTTAATCTCTGAAGGGAAAGAGCATGCGTTAAGAACTTGAGTCTGTTTCCAGGGGTTGAGTACCAGCTAAGCTGTGACGCTCCATTCTTCCACTAACAAAACAGAATAAAATAGCAGGTTGCTTGAAAGGCTGTAGACGTAGTTGACTACCATGAAATTAGTTAGATACAACTGACCAGCATGTGTGACCCACACAGGCCCAGGTTCCTGAAAAAGAAACCAATGAGGTCAGTGTTTGTATATAAAGACAATGTTTAACAATATCCAGGCTGGGTGTGATGGCTCACACCCACAATCCCACCACTTTGGGAGGCCAAGGTGAGAGGCTGGCTTGAGCCCAAAAGTTCGAGACCAGCCTGGGCAATATAGTGATACCCCCATCTCTATAAAAACAATTTTTTAAAAGTTAGCCAGATATGGTGAGGCACACCTGTAGTCCCAGCTACTCAGGAGGCTGAGGCAAGAAAACCACTTGAGCCCAGGAGGATGAGGCTGCAGTGAGCTATCACTGGACTACTGCACTCCAGCTGGGGCAACAGAAAAACACCAAACAACAGAAACCAATGGCCACCATCTACTTTGCTGAGAAATGTCTCTCTTCACTCTGACTGCCATGCACTAACAATGCAACTTTCGGCATCACGCCAGGCTCCTCTTGAGCTGAGACTTGCCCAGGACCAGCTTCGGAAAACACTGAGGGCGGTCTGTGCTCTGCACGCCCCTCCCTGCCCACACTGGAGCAAGAAGGAGCTCCAAAGTCCTCCACCCTGTCCTCCGAAGGGAAACGGGCTACCCATCCTATCATCAGGACTGTCTTTTCTGTTCCCAAGGCGATGTGCATAACTCGATCGTCAAACGCAAGTGATACGTTTCCATTCTGGGCGAACAGTTCTTACTGCCAGTGGAAGAAGTGACGTCTCATTTCACACATGTCATTTTAACAGAGGGCACTTGGGGTGGGGAGGCAGGCAGAGAGCGGAAGCGGGAGAGAAGGTGGGCACTAGTATTGGCACAAGCTGGGTCTGAATGCCACTTTGCAACCCCCCATTTTCCCAGCAGGGTGGCTCTGAGCACATGACTTAGCCACCTTCATCCTCAGTTTCCCTCTCTCTACATGAAGTTCATGTCACCTTTTGCACAGAGAGGGAACAGGCAGTGAGGGATAAGTGAGGGGGCATAGTCCCAGCACAGGGTAGCCACCTCAAAAAATGGAGCTGTTTTCTCCTCCCCGGAGGCACTGACCCTATGAGTACACACAAGGGCACCTGCTGGGGTCACAGACAGTTGGGCCCTGGGAAGAAGGAGGGATCCAAGAAGGGACGGATGAGAGGTGGGAGGGAGACCGAGATCAGTGGGGCCACAGGAGGAATAGACGGAGGCCAGGCCAGTGCCGAGATCCCAGACTGGGCATCCAGAGGGTGACCCTGAGTGATGCTTCCAGAGCAGTGAGAACAGAAATCAAATGGCCAGAAAAAGACAGAGGGTCGAGGCAGGAAAACTCAGATTTACATATCCCTTCTCTCTGAAAGGCTTTCTGCTGACCTTCTACTTCCGGCTACAGCATCTGCAAACCATTCTCTCCAAGTCTGCATTCCTGGGAGGACACACAGTCATCCTAACTCCCTGCATGAGTCAGTGGCCTTATCTTGAATAGCCAAATATTTATTTTCCATCCTTTTTTTTTTTTTTTTAATTGACTGAGGGGACTTTTTGGTCTTGTTTTTCTTCGTAGTGAGTCAGCACTGCAGAGCAAGCCCACCAGCTATGACTCAGCAGAGCCAAAAAGACTCATGGCTTCCTCCCAAGGAGGCTGAGACGCTATCTACACATGCACACAACATCTGTGCATGCACACATACATGTGCAATCCACATGTGTTTATACAACACACAAATGCACACATGACACACAAACAATGCACACAGCACACACAAACACAACACATGACATGCATGTAACATGGATAACACACCAACACACATCATGTGCACACCACACATCAACACACACACCATACACACAACACACACACCTCAACACACACCATGCACACACTGCACACACATACAACATGCACGACACATCAACATATACACCATGCACACACTGCACAAATACATACAACATGCACAACACCTCAACATACACACCATACACACACCGCACACATATACACAACACGTACAACACATCAACACACACACTGCATACATACACACAACACGCACAACACATCAACACACACCATGCACACACCGCATACACACAACACACACACTGCACTCATACATGCAACATGCACATCAACACACACACCACACACAACCCCTGCACACACACACACACACACACACACACACAGTCTGCCTTGGGAGGATTATTTATTCCTCCTAGGAAACATGCTAAACCAAAGCAAAAGTGGAGGTGCCACAGGGCCCCCCTTTGCTGGCTCCCTGAGAATTAATTCCTGAGAAGCTGATCTGCCTGCCACCGCAGGGAGAAGTCCCCACTGCAGGGAACTGGTCTGCTCCCAGTCTGGTTCCATCATTTGTTTGCCAGACAATGACTGCACAGCCACCGGTGTGTGGCTGACCTGCCTCCCCAGCATGGTCCTCCTTCCAGCTGGAGGCTCAGCACTCATTTCCTCAAAGTTGCTGCCTGCACCCTGGGGTGAGGCCGCCGAGATGCAGAGCCTGCCACTTCCTCAGCTGTCAGGTGTAGGGGAGACCACGCCGCCTGTCAGAATGAGTCTACCCAACTGTCTACAGGAGCAGGTTCAAGGTCTCCAGAAGCACTGGACAGTCTGCTCTTGTACCATAAGCAAAGCTGTGAGCTGCGTATGGAGGACTTGTGACACCATCCCGAGCCGGGCCGTCAGCGGAGACTTTGCAAACTCAAGGGGGTAGGCCCCACCCCTAAGGGACCACTCCAGAATCCCAGCTGATTGTCAGTGTCCGAAACAGGTGAATCTCAACAGGGTCCCAGGCAGGACCAGGCAGGTTGCCCTGCGGACCACACAGCCCAATCCTCATGGGTCTGCATCTCTGAGCTCAGCAAGGATCTGCAGGCTGAACCGAGCTCCTCCTAGCCTTGCTCCCCTCTCTTGACTCAACCCAGAAGAACCGTCCTCAGCAGGCAGCCACGAAGCCAGGGACGGCGGTAGGGCTGCCACGTCACAGGAGCATACTAACTGTGCATTCCACTTAACGTCATTTTTTTTTTTTTTTTTGAGACAGAGTCTTGCTATGTCACCAGGCTGGAGTGCAGGAGTGCAGTGATGCAATTTTGGCTCACTGCACCCTCTGCCTCACACGTTCAAGAGATTCTCCTGCCTTAGCCTCTCAAGTAGCTGGGATTACAGGCGCATACCACCATGCCCAGCTACTTTTTTATATTTTAGTAGAGATGGGGTTGTTGGCCAGGATGGTCTTGATCTCCTGACCTCATGATCCGCCCACTTTGGCCTCCCAAACTGCTGGGATTACAGGCGTGAGTCACTGCACCCGGCCACGTGTTTTGTGTTTTAGAAAACAACTTAGATCAACCTAAGCATCTGTACTGCTATAAAGCGCCAGAAACAAAAACACTCAGTGACTGCAGAGACAGGAAGAGGGGGCTCCCTTGCCACATACAAGTGAAGCAACGTGAGTTTCCTGCTTTTGAGGATCAGCCACTTCCCTCCAGCCATCTCTGCACCTCCTGCCTCCGCAATGTTTTAGAAAAAGGACTGTCACACCTGTGTTTTTGGCTTTGAAGAATGCTGACCCCTCACTGGGCCCGTGTCCTGGTCCTATGTGTGCAGGAGGCACGAGCTGTCTCTGCTCCTCCAGTTTGCCCATGTTTTCTTTCCACTCCATGCCCCCCTGGCCTGCGCTGCACACGCTTCTCCCTGCCCTGGCTCTGCGGTGCTTCCCCTCGCCCTCCAGGCAGGGGTTGCCAGTTGAACACTGCCTGTGGGAAGCACCACCCAGAAGGGTGGCAGCGCCTGCCAGGGCCAACCTCACCTGTCCCACTCCTGCTGCACCTGAGTCACAACACCACTGCCCCCCATGCCCACCTGCCCAGGAGCAGAGCCTGGAACCTGGCAGGCTCAATCAGACTTTGCTGAAGGCCACGCAGATAACCCTGGACTCAGCGCTGGGAAGTGGCAGCTCCCCTTCCTGGGTGGCCAGACTGTCCAGGGTCTCTGATGGATGGGAGACACATCCGAAATGCAGGCATCCAACCAAGAGCTGCTGGGGGGGCAAGGCCACCTTCCCGGGGCCCCGCTACACATCTCGTGTTAACAAAGTTACCACAGGTTAAGTTACGCTCTCTGCAGGGCCGGGGACAGCGTCCACAGCTGTTGCATCCGTGGGTGAGTGGCAGATGGTGGTGCCCAGCTGTCTGTCAACCCCTGCTGCTCCTCAGCGTGAGGTCTGGTAGGGACTCCGTAGAGAGCAACCCTCCCTGTCTAGCCCAGAGCCAAGAGGAAGAAAAGGGACAAAAACCACACACTAGGAAGCCCATAAAGGTTTATGGGAGCCAAGAAATCCCTCCCCCAGCCCCAACAAGGAAGGTGGAGCACTGTCAACACAGGGAGGGGCAGGCTGGTCATCTCTCTAAGGCCTCCGGGCTGCGCGGGGTGGGAGAGTCAGGTGACGTGGGGGCAAGGTCCCCGCCTCTGAGCTTTAACAAGGGAGCTGGCAACACAGGAGACAATGCCAGTCAGCAGGCACGCGACACGACACGGCCAGAGCCCAGGCCCAGCCTGGTCTGGGGCAGGGCTCGCTGGTCTGTAAAAGTAACAAAGCGAAGATGGCAGCAGAGTTCCCCGCAGGCCACAGTCCTCTAACAGGAGCCACATCCGCGTCCCAGGTGAGCTGCGTCCCTTCCAAATACCATACGGTGAAGTCCCAACTCCCAGCACTTCAGAATTTGTTTGGAAATAGAGTCTCTGCAGAAGTAACGGGTTAAGATGAGGACAAGTGGAGTAGGGTGGGTCCCTGACCCAGCACGACTGGAGTCCTAGAGAGACATGGTCGGAGGAAGCCACGCTGAAGACAGTGGCCCTGCCAACACCTGGACTGCAGACTCCCAGTCTCCAGTCTCCAGAACTGGGAGAGAATAAGTGCGCTGTTTTCAGCCACCCAGTTTGGGGTACTTTATTACGGGCAGCCCCAGGAAACTCAGTCTGCTTTTTCGCCTTAGAACGTGCGGCGTTTTAGGGAGGATGGTGATGCTGAAGGACAGTGCTTCCCAGTGACTTACTCGATGAGACCCCACTGAAAATACTATTTGAAATCCAAAACCAGTATTTTAAAATAAACGTTAAAAATAAAAGGAACGTGGTAATGAAGTGGGGCATGAGAGCAGAGGAAAGGGACTCCCCCCATGCAGACATCAGCCAGAAAAGAGAAAACCACCCCAGCTGGGGCCACAGCTTCTCTCTCCTCTTTTGACAATTTTTTAAAATTTAACTTTTAAGTTCGGGGTACATATGCAGGTTTGCTATATAGGTAAACTCAGGTCATGTGGGTTTGTCGTACAGATGATGCTGTCACCCAGGTGTTAAGCCTCGTAGCACCCATTAGTGATTTTCCTGATCCTCTCCCTCCTCCCACCCTCTGACAGGCCCCAGTGTGTGCTGTTCCCCTCCCTGTGTCCATGCGCTCTCATCATTTAGCTCCCACTTATACATGAGAACATACGGTGTTGGTTTTCTGCTCCTGTGTTAGTTTGCTTAAGATAATAGCCTCCAGCTGCATCCATGTTGCTGCAAAAGACATGACTTCATTCCTTTTTAGGGCTGTATAGTATTCCATGCTGTATATGTACCACATTTTCTTTATCCAGTCTACCATTGATGGACATTCTGGTTGATTCCATGTCTTTGCTATCATGAACAGGTCTTTGAGGAATCACCATGTTGTTTTCCACGATGGTGGAACAAATTTACACTCCCACCAACAGTGTAGAAGTGTTCCTTTTTCTCTGCGACCTTGCCAGCATCTGCTATTTTTTGACTTTTTAATAATAGCCATTCTGACTGGTGTGAGGGGCTTTCTCATCGTGGTTTTGATTCTCATTCCTCTAACGATCAGTGATGTTAAGGTTTTTTCCCAGGACTGTTGGCCACATGAATGCTTTCTTTTGAAAAGCGTCTATTTACGTCCTTTGTCCAGTTTTCAATGTTTTTTTTCTTGGAAATTTGTTTAAGTTCCTTATAGATTCTGGGTGGTTAGACCTCTGTCAGATGCAGAGTTTGCAAAAATTTTCTCCAATTCGTAGGTTGTCTATTCATTCTGTTGATAGTTTCTTCAGCTGTGCAGAAGCTCTTTAGTTTGATTAGATTCATATTCCTCACTATAATAAGAGCCATCTACGAGAAACCCACAGCCAACATCATACTGAATAGGCAAAAGCTGAAAACCAGCACAGGACAAGGATGCCCTCTCTCACCACACCTGTTAAACATATTAATAGTGTTAGAAGTTTTGACCAGGGCAGTCAGGTGAGAGAAAGAAATAAAGGGCATCTCAATAGGAAGAGAGAAATCAAACTGTCCCTGTTTGCAGGCAACTTGATTTTGTCTCTAGAAAACACCATAGTCTCAGCCCAAAAGCTCCTAAAACTGACAAACAGCTTTAGCAAAGTCTCAGGATACAAAATCAATACACCAACAATGGTCAAGCAGACAGCCAAATCAGGAACACAGTCCCATTTACAATTGCCACGAGAAGAATAAAATACCTAGCTATGCAGCTGAGGGAGGTGAAAGACCTCTATGAGAATTACAAAACTCTGCTCAAAGAAATTGGAGATAACACAAATAGAAAAGCATTCCATGCTCATGGATAAGAAGAATCAATATTGTTAAAATGGCCATAATGCCCAAAGCAATTTGGATTCAATGCTATTCCTATTAAAGTACCATTGACATTCTTCATAGAACTAGAAAAAACCATTTTAAAATTCATATGGAACCAAAAAAGAGCCCAAATAGCCAAGGTAATCCTAAGCAAAAAGAACAAAGCCAGAGGCATCACACTACCCAATTTCAAACTATACTACAGGGCTACAGTAACCAAAACAGCATGGTACTGGTACAAAAACAGATACATAGACCAATGGAATGGAATAGACAACCCAGAAATAAGGCCATACACCTACAACCATCTGATCTTCGACCAACCTGACAAAAACAAGCAATGGCAAAAGAACTCCCTATTCAATAAATGGTACTGGGATAACTGGCTAGCCATATGCAGAATACTGAAACTGGACCCCTTCCTTGCACTATATACAAAAATCAACTCAAGATGGGTTAAAGATGTGAATGTAAACCCCAAAACTATAAAAACCCTGGAAGACAACCTAGGCAATACCATTCTGGGCACAGGAGCAGACCTCATGACGAACATGCCAAAAGCAATCTCATTTTTAAGCAGATATTTATGTAACAGCCTCGTTGATAGCCATGGTGCAGACGTTATGAGAAGAATTACAGGCAAGTGACTGCACCTGCTGCTCATGTTAGGGCCCCTGCTCTGATGTTCCTCTGAGTGGAGCCTCCTCCTCTCTGTGCCTGCCCTCTGAACGCTGGAGCAGGCAGAACGTCCCATACAGTAAAGGCAGGTATTCAAATCTATGCTGGAGCAAAGCGGCCGAAGTTCGCCTAAGTTCCTCTAGCAGCAGCGGCAGTGAGGAGGGATGCAAAGCCACAGCTTCACTCAGTAAACACAGGGGCCCCAGCTTGCCGGGCAGGAGCACTGTACATGTGTCTTATGGGGCTTCCTTTCTCATGGCTTATGCCATTGGTATTCCACATGGTGGCCTTATTTTACAGATTGCAAGTTAGAGCAAAAATTTAAAAGCGGTAAGACAGCATCTCTGGGAATGAGAACAGAATTTAGAAAAAAATCCAGGAGAAATTAAGCAGATGGCTATATTCTAGGGGAGCGATGGGAGCGGCTGTTTAACACACAGATTTCACAGCTCCGGGCGCTAATACTGGCTTCCGGGATAAGCTTCAGCCGATTGAGACTAAAAAATAATGGTTTCTTCTTTCATCCACCCATTGTATTGATCTACTTATTTTTGTCCAAAAAAAATTTTTTTTTTTTTTGAGACGGAGTTTCGCTCTTGTTACCCAGGTTGGGATGCAGTGGCGCGATCTCGGCTCACCGCAATCTCCGCCTCCTGAGTTCAGGCAATTCTCCTGCCTCAGCCTCCCGAGCAGCTGGGATTACAGGCACGCACCACCGTGCCCAGCTAATTTTTTGTAATTTTAGTAGAGACAGGGTTTCACCATGTTGACCAAGATGGTCTCGATCTGTTGACCTCGTGATCCACCTGCCTCGGCCTCCCAAAGTGCTGGGATTACAGGCTTGAGCCACCGCGCCCGGCCTTGTCCAAAAATTTTTTTCAAACCCTATTGGTTCATCTGTCAGCTGCTCTTGGAATAACATCCCACCTTTCATGACCATGGCAAAAATTCCTGATTCCTTTTAGTTAAAAATACCTCGGCTAAGCAGCGTTTTCCCAGCATGAGATGTGAATCAGAAAGGATACACCATGCAAACCAGAGGTCACATTTTCACGCGGAGTGCAATTACATGTGCTGTTCTGTACTTACAGGAGGGAGCCTGATCAGAGACCATCACAGATACGCCAGGGCTCCTTCTGCCCCAAACGGAAAGCACGTGTGCAAGAGCTGCAGCCACTCTGAACCATTCGGTGCCACAGATGGGCTGGGATACTCACCTGCTCTGTCTCCACGAAGTTGGACACATGGCCATCGTCGTTCACACCGCGAGTGTGGAAGCGGGCACCGACGCGCTCGCAGCTAACGCGAGAGATGAGGCAGGCCTTGGCCTGCTTGTGGGAGGCGTACACAGTGCGGATGGTGACCACCCCACAGATGACCTTCAGCAGCCAGTCACAGCATCTCACCTGGTGCTGCCTCAAGGGCACGTGCAACAGCTGGTTCCTGCAAAACAGAGCCCCACACCAATTCTGGTCACCTGACATCCTCCAGCACATGCTGTCTGGAAAGTGAGTATGGCTGAAGAACAGGCAGAGGCGGAGGTGGAGGTGGGGGCGGGGGGGGGGTGCATTGTCCAGAAAGCGAGCGTGGCTGAGGAAGGGGGTGCGCGCTGTCCGGAAAGCGGGCGTGGCTGAGGAAGGTGGGTGCGCTGTCCGGAAAGCGGGCGTGGCTGAAGGGCGGTAGAAGGGGGGTGCACGCGGTGCAGATTCTGGTTCAGCAAGAGCGTGCTGCTCCCCAATGGATTCTGCACTTGGGATGTACAGATCTGGGAAATTCATGTGCTTCAGAGAGACCCCAAATTGCAGGGGCACTGTGTCATGTATAGGAGGACGGCCAGGGAGTCCTTTCCCAAAGCTACCACCAGGTAATCACTGTCGGTCAATGGAAGCAGCGCCAGAGAGTGTGTAGGTGTGCACCTTTCGGGGAATTACAAAGGGGCCTCGGGTCAGCCCTGTGGGCCCCACAATTTTTATTGCAGGCCCCATCAGTAAAAAATTAAATGATTAAATAATCATGACAAATAAGATGATAAATGATTAAAAATCATATTAACTATGGGAACCGTTATTTGAACGATGCACATATCCACACACATGCACCATGGGATGAATATGATGAGAGCACTACAAAGCAATCCAAAATAAAGAAGGATCCGAGGAAAATATAATGTAACAAAAGTTCTAGTATTTCCTCTCCATGCCTAGTGGACCGTTCTAGGCTCTGGAGTCCATGATGATAATGACATAATGATATCATTATATCACGATCTATATGATGTTATATATGATTTATATGATGATCATTATATATGTGTGTGAATGACATAAAGATAGATGTCGAGTGACAGCCGACATCCTGTGCACTGAGCCCCATTCTAAGTACTTTGGGGTGAATTAACTCATTTCACCCTTGAAGTGACCCTAAGTGAAAGGTATCATCACTGACCCCATTTTACAGATAAAGAAACGGAGGCACAGAGAAGTAAAGTACTTGTCTAAGGCCACAAAGCCAGCCAGTGGTGGCATGGAGCTTGGAGACCATGCTCTTCACTGCGAGCCTTCCATTTGCACCTGTGAACAGTCACATTGTTCTCACATCCCTGAGACAGGCTTGGCCCGCTTGCTTCAGAACCCAGGGGACCTGACTGGTACCATTCTGAGGCCCCATACTCACTCCAGGGAGGATGACCCACGCCACGCCCTCTTCCAGGGCACTGAGTGAATCTAGATCACAGCGCCCTACTTGTTTAAAAAAGGAATGCAATTCCTGCCCTTGAGCCTTCCTCAAAGACAGCGGCAGCGTTTTCTCACTGCTGGAAATCTGTGCTGTGGGCTGAGGGGTCCAAGAGGCCTTCTCCAAGCTCCCTGCTTTCAGGTCAGCCTCCCCAACTCTGACCAAAGCCACATGCACCCCCACAGGGAGCACAGCCTGCATCTGACCCCATCTGAGGGCGCATAGCCACAGCGTTCCTCTTCTTGAAAAATGATTATGAAGCATTGCTGTACAAAACCATATGTCCTTCTTCCAAATCGCTCTCTCAAAGTCAGACAATAAGCCAGATACAGAAACGCACATATTAAATCTGCATGTGGCATCAAGGCAAAGCCTCCAGAATAGTCCAGAGTCTGCCAGCCGTACAGTTATGGCCACTATCACCAGGGCTCAGGAGGAGAAACCTTTTGCCAAGAGGACAACACTTAAATCAGCCTTGTTTCTAGTGACACTGCCTGACCCTCTGGCGGGAGGATGGCTCATCCCCAGGAGGAGGATCCCCAAAGGGTTTCCTCCCAGGACCTGATTGTACTGGGAAGCAACTGTCAGTGTGATCAATTACCAGCCCAGAAAGATGACATCACCCTGCTGCTCACTCTCCCTTAAGTGCTGGCCACGCTCAGCGTTGACCCCATCTGACTCCTACTGTGGGTCTCCAGATCTCAGGCGCTGCACCACAACAGCAGGAGTGTAGGCAATCAAGCCCAGGACCACACTGCCTGTGGTGACTCAGTTGTGGTCAGTTCTAGGGGCTCCACCCTGAGCCTCAACACCACGCCCTGATGTGTTACAGCTGAGGAGCCTGGCAACCTCAAGGAGTAACTTCCTCCTCTCCCTTCAGAAAGGGACACCCTGGGGCTCCTGCTTCCCAAGCTCCCTCAGCCTCCACCTTGTAAATCCCCCCTGCCTCACTTTCTCAGCACCCCTCACACCTCCAGCCATAGAGCTAGCGTGGGACAAGAAGTTGCAAAGGTGCTGGTGCAATTCAGATACCCCAAGGATCCCCTATGGGTTCCAGGGACCCTCACCGCCACTGAGAGCTCTCACCTCTGCTCACCTGACAGTTCTGGTTTAAAACAGCTTCATGGTGTCTGCACGAAGACACCTCATAATACATAGCCCCTCTGTGTGTAAGTGTGGCTGCCATTAGCGGAACACGCATAGCTCCAGGGGCACCTGCTAGGCCCTGCAGAATGGAACTAGCGATTCACAGAAATGCCATCCCCCAGAGCCTGCCACTCAACCTGCGGTCTACAGACAAGCAGCACTGAAATGCAGAGTCCTGGGCCCAGCCCAGAACTGCCATCCCAGAATCTGCATTTTTAATGAGATTAGCAGGAGATTCACAATTTTATTATTTATTTTTTAAAGACAGTCTCACTCTGTCACCCAGGCTGGAGTGCAATGGCGTGATCTCAGCTCACTGCAACCTCCACCTCCCAAGTTCAAGTGATTCTCCTGCCTCAGCCTCCCAAGTAGCTGGGATTACAGGCGCACACCACCAAATCCAGCTAATTTTTTTTATCTTTAGTAGAGATGGGGTTTTGCCATGTTGGCCAGGCTGGTCTCAAACTGCTGACATCAGGTGATTGGCCCACCTCAGCCTCCCAGAGTGCTGGGATTACAGGCGTGAGGCCTCTGTGCCCAGCCTTGATTCATATGTGTTTTAGAGTCTGAGCACATTACTGCCCCAAAATATCCACAATACTAGAGAACCAAAGAGGATGTGGGGGTGGGAAGCATTGGGATGGACAAGGGATGTGGGGAGGGTCCCCTTCTCCCAGCAGAAGTCAGGAATTCACTTGTGGGGCATCCAAAGCACCATGGCCAGAGGAAACCCTATGCATGCCTGTGGCAAAGACAGAGAGGCACAAACAGGCCAGAAATAAACCTCGCTAGTCCCATCTCAGAGCTGGGAAAACTGATATAGCTTCAAAGAGTAGATGCTGGATTCTACAACATTATATGAGGTTCACTGGAACCAGGCCCACAGCGGGACTTGCCCCATTTTTGCTTCTGCCTGGCATCTTCGGGCATCAGTGTAAATCTGATGGAAACAACATTATGTCCAGAAAGGCCAATAGATAATTTACGTATTTACAGAGTCGTCCATGCTTGTCTGTGTCCTGCCGTGGAGTAAAAAAGCGCCAAGAGACCCTAAACGTGCAGAAATCCAGCCGCCTTCACCTGGGCTCTGGGACTAGCCTTAGCACATTGCTACAGGTCCCCTTAGGCAGGCTGACTCAGCTTCCCCATTGATGTGATGACCAGCTTGGGACCCAGAGCCAGAAGGCCTGGGTTCAAATCCTGGCTCAGCCACTTACTAAGTGTGCGGAGTTTGGCAAAATTCCCTCGACTACTGATGCCTACGTCTATCTGTAAAATGGGGTAACAGAGCCTCCACATAATTATTATAAGGGTTTTTATTGTAAGGATGAGTTAGTACCAGCAGAGAGAGTTTAGCACGGTGACCCGAACACAGCGCTCTCTAAGCATCAGCGGTAAATAGCTGCACACTGGAGGTTACCACGATTGAGAAGACTCAGAGAGCCAACCCAGGCAGAACACTGAGCTCAGCACCCGGGACTGAGGGAGCACTTGGTGGACACTGGCTCCTGTGTTTTTTACTTATGGACCAGGGTTTTCTTTTCTTTTGTTTCTTTTCTTTTTTCTCTTTCTCTTTCTCTCCCTCCCTTCCTCCCTCTCTCTTTCTTTCTGAGATAGAGTCTTGCTCTGTTGCCCGGGTTGGAGTGCAGTGGTGCCATCTCCACTCACTATAACTGCCGCTTCCTGGGTTCAAGCGATTCTCCTGTCTCACCCTCCCGAGTAGCTGGGATTACAGGCATGTGCCACCATACCTGGCTAAGTTTTGTATTTTTAGTAGAGACAGGGTTTCATTATGTTGGTCAGGCTGGTCTGGAACTGCTGACCTCAGGTGATCCACCCACCTTGGCCTCCCAAAGTGCTGGGATTACAGGCGTGAGCCACCGTGTCTCGCCTGGCCATATATGTATGTATGTATGTATGTATGTATGTATGTATGTGTGTGTATAGTCTCACCCTGTCGCCCAGGCTGGAGTCCAATGGCACGATCTTGGCTCACTGCAACCTCCACCTCCTGGGTTCAAGTGATTCTCCTGCCTCAGCTTCCTGAGTAGCTGGGATTACAAGCACCTACCAGTGCACCCAGCTAATTTTTATTTTATTTTATTTTTAGTAGAGATGGGGTTTTGCCATGTTGACCAGGCTTGTCTCAAACTCCTTACCTCAAGTGATCTGCCTGCCTCCGCCTCTCAAAGTGCTGGGATTATAGGCATGAACCACCACGCCTGGCCAGGTCTCTTTTCTAAATCTATATTGAACACGTTTCCTGAAGGGGGTGGTGGGGAGTTCAGGGTTAGTTTTCCTCTCCTAGTGCTGAGAGCAGCCTGGGTCCTAACTCTCCAGAGGTGACCCATAATCCGGGGGTGGTGCAAGTGGAGGTCACGGCCTCAGGTGCCAACCAGAGCCCACCCTCTGCAGGGGCCCAGGGCCCTCACCAGAAGAAGGAGTTCCCCCACTCAGAGCTGTCATCCCCCTGCTTCTGCGTGCGGACAGTCAGGTCAAAGCGAGACCCGTCGTTGGGCCATGAGAAATAGAACACCCCTGAGTTGAGGATTTTCTTCAAGGCTATGAGGCGCTCCTCCTCCTTGGCCTCTTCCTGAAGAGGGTAAAAGTCGGTGGCAGTGATTTTGTAGATTTCAGCATCTGGAATTCTGCCAACAGATGTGCAGCCTGTCACCAGCACCAGGAAGCTCAGAGATGTGCCACCTGGAAAGGAAATCAGACAGGAGAGCTCAGGGTGGCAGCCGGCCTGGCCACCTGGAGCTCCGCAGGCAGCTTGAACAGAGCCCAGGATCAACGGCAGCCAGGAACGCAACGTCTGTGCACCTGCGCCTTCCCACAGCACTGCCCAACTCAGTGGCTCAAGAACTGCCCTGTCCTGTAAGCCTCAGGCGGTGCTTCTCAAAGTGGGGGACCCTGGCCAGCAGGTCCACGTGCCCTGGGAGCCTGTTAAAAATGCAGATTTCTGTGGCACCCAGCGGCCTGGGGGTGGGGCAATCTCTGCTGTAACAAGCCCTCCAGGTGATTCTGATGCCCCCAGGAGTCTGAGAATTCCTGGCCTAGAGCCCTTCCAGACCCCCAGGACCTGCCCCCAAAACCTCTCCAAACCACCTTTCCCAATGCCTCCTCAGGCACTGCCCTGACTCAGCACCCCCAGCCTGGGTCTGTCTTCCCCCACTCCATCACAGGAGTGGCTTCCCAAAGCCATCTGATCACAGCCACCCACTTCCCTCCTGCATGGCTCCTACTCCCTTTGAGACCGAGACAGAAGTTCCCAAGGCCCTCCCCGCTGCAGCCGGCCCCTGCCCCTGCCCCGGCCCCTGCCCCTGCCCCTGCCCCTGCCCCACACGGGGCAGCCACCCCAGCCGGCTCCCTCTTGCACTGGCGGTCATCCAGCTGCTCCAATGTGCCATAAGCAATACCTGGTATCCTGGACTCTTGCCCAAGATGTTTCCCCCGCCTGGGGCATCCCACCGCCATCTGCCCAGCAAGACCTCCACAACCCCTTCTCCATGCACCTCCCACCCGTCTCTGCCCCCACAGTACTTTGGGCTTTGGGCCCAGCATTCCATCCTCTGGAACAACACGAGTGCCCCGACGTGCTCCGTGGGGACCATCCTGCCCCTGCCCTCCCCACTTCACTGGAAGAACTCCTCCTCATCCTTCTGGGTCAAGTTGGCAGCAATTCCTCCAGGAAGCCTTCTTTGCTTTCCCAAGACATGGACAGGCACCCCTTGTATGTGCCAATAGCATTCCCATCAGCAGTCATCACATGCAAAGCTCATGACCTCTTTCCCCACCTGTGCCTCCAGGGAAGGGGCTTCCTGGGGACAGGACGGTTTCATCGTCATCTCCCTACTCCGCATACACTCAGTTTGCTGAATGCTTCCTAAATAACTTCCTGCCAAGCACTACCCAGACCACCTTGGACCCTGTGGCCAGGCGAATGAGGCAGCCCTCTCTGGGGCCTCACCTCGCTGTAGCATTAAGGGTGCCTGGCAGTGCCGGGCTCACTCTCAGGATGGGGCCCAAGAGGTCATCGGGTGGAAACCGGCCTTTGGGGGCTGGCACGGTTCTAGTCTCGAGACACGATTCCTACCCTGCCGGGGTCTGAAGGATCGGCCAAGGGAGATTTCTGCAAACGATCGGGGGAGTTGGTTCATATTTCTCTACGCTCTGGAAAGTGACCCCAAAAACCAATTCCACCACCCCTCACCCCAGTTCCCTCATAACACGTCATAGGGAAAAGTGCATTGCTTGTGGCAGGGTGGCGTGTGGTTGCCATTAAAGTGCATTCATTTAATGGGTAGCTCAGGGCTCTCAGGGCCCACTGATACGCTGTGGGGTGGGGTGCCAGCCCGGTGGTGGGACTGGCCCCGTCACATCTCCCAGACACATCCTCAGGAAACCACCTCCAGACCACCTAAGGACAAAGGAAGTTATCACACTGGGGACAGGGACGGGGTCAGAGTTCAGCTTCTCAAGTAGGACAAGTTGGGTTACAGGGTTGGCAGCCTCTGATCAGAGCCTGGGCCACAGAGTGCTCCCAGCGCCCACCTGCCTCTTCTGACACACTCAGCACAGAGAAAAGCACAGATCAGCAGAACTGCCCTCGCAGTGGCTGGAGGATGGCCCCCGTGGCTGCCAGAGGTATAGAAAATTTTCCATGACACCACTCTGTGTGAGACATGAAGCTGATTTGTACCACCACTTCCTCAACAGCCTCCGCATGGGGGGCTGAGTGCCTGGCAAGAGTCCCAGGTTGCATTTCCTGGGCAGGACCACAGTCTGGGGGAGGCTGGGGAGGGGAGCACTGTGGCATCTGGGAGAGGCTCCTAACAACAGCATCACCATGGAGCACGGGGGATCCTGGGTGCAGGGAGGAGGGGGTCGGGGTGGTGCATTGGGGTGAGCAGAGCTGGTGTCTACTGAGTGCAGTGGAGGCAGGGGCTCTGCTCACAGCACTGCACAGGCACGGACTCCATCCTCCCACCCACCTCGAGGAATGCCCTTACCAGCCCTATATCACAGGGAGGGAAACAGAAGCACAGAGAGGTTAAGCAGCCTGCCCAGGTGACAGAGCGGGGAGCTGGGATCCAAACCCACTTTCTAGCTACAGCACCTGGGCAAGTTACTCAAGCCAAGTCTGGCCTGAGAGCTGGTGCTCCCAGTTGTACCTCCTTGCAGATGACATCGCCAACCTGCTTAACCAGACTGCTGTCTCAGGCCTACCACTGCCATTTCACACACTCGTCACCGTCCCCCAGGGAAGCTGAATCACCTGCCCAAGCACACAGCTAGTTTGCGCTGGAGCCAAAACACACATGTAGGTTTCACTTTAAGCCCATGCTCCATCTAGCCCCAAAGTTCAGCAGTTTCCAATCAGGTTGGTTTGCTGTACCCTTTATATATATATATGCGCCCAGGCTGGAGTGCAGTGGCACAATCTCGGCTCACTACAACCTCCACCTCCCAGGTTCAAGCAATTCTCCTGCCTGCCTCAGCCTCCCAAGTAGCGGGGATTACAGGCACCCACTACCATACCCGGATATTTTTTTGTATTTTTGGAAAGGATGGGGTTTCACCATGTTGGCCTGGCTGGTCTCAAACTCCTGATCTCAGGTGATCCACCCACCTCGGCCTCCCAAAGTGCTGGGATTACAGGTGTGAGCCATTGCGCCTGGCCTGCTATATACCCTTTAAAAGAGTGTGGTCAACCAGTGTACCTACTATCGGCTGAATGTGTGCACCCCCAAGTTAATATTTGGAAGTAGGAACACCCAAGGTGCTGGTATTAGGAGGTGGGATCTTCGGGAGGTAACTGGGTCATGGAAGTGGAGCCCCCGTGAATGGGGTTTGTGTCCAGAGAGCTCCTTCACCTTTCCAACTACGTCAGATGCAGAGAAAAGGCAGCATCTACGAACCAAGAAGCAGGCCCTCACCGACAGCCAATCTGTGGGCTGCTCATCTCAGACTTCCAGCCTACAGAATGGTGGAAAATATATTTTTGTTGCTGATAAGACACCCAGTCTACAGAACTTTGTCACAGCAACCTACGTGGACACAGACAGCGTTCCACGCTCCTTCAGAAACTGCCATGGGAAGTTTCATCGGTAGTTGAAATGGTTGTAAATAATATATTGTGCGGCATGTGCTAAATATGGACACGTGAAGCCCAAACTCCTCGAGCCTCTTTGCAGTATCCAGTGCAGTCTCCATAGTGATGTGATACTCAGTCGTCATCTATTTACAGGAACGCAGGAACATGCCTTTTCTCTACCATGTGGAACTTTCGCTCGTATTTCCAGTCTCTCCCCAACAGAATTCCATCCTAAGGTAGCAGATTTTGTGCTTCTGCGTCCTGTTCTGATCACCCCATCAGCCCGTGCAGCTGTGCGCTCCTCAACTCAAAGTGTTTAAAAAGAGCCTTGATCATTCCAGTGACACCTAACTGGCCAAACGATGTAACAACACAATGTAAATGAAACATTTTGCCAAATATGTGTGTGTGTTTGTGTGTGTGCACGCGCGCTATACCCTTTAAAAGAGTATGGTCAACCAGTGTACCTGCTATTGGCTGAATGTGTGTGCCCCCAAATTAATATGCTGAAGTAGGAACACCCAAGGTGATGGTATAAGGAGGTAGGGTCTTTGGGAGATGACAGTCTTGCTCTGTCGCCCAGGCTAGAGTGCAGTGGTGCAATCTCGGCTCACTGCAACCTCTGCCTTCCACGTTCAACCTCTGCCTTTCAGGTTCACTGCCTCAGCCTCCTGAGTAACTGGGATTACAGGCATGTGCCACCATGCCCAGCGAAATTTTGTATTTTTAGTAGAGATGAGGTTTCGCCATGTTGGCCAGGCTGGTCTCGAACACCCGACCTCTAGTGGTCTGCCCACCTTGGCCTCCCAAGTGCTGGGATTACAGGCGTGAGCTACCACACCCGGCTGACAAATAATCATGTAATAGGAAAAGTAAAAACGTGTTGGAAAGGCATCTCTTAATGAGATGAATAAATATTTATTGAAGGAATGAAAGCAGGTTCTGCACCAATTCTACTTCTAATTTTCATTCTTGTAGATGAAAACACAAAGAAATCCTGTTCACACTAATAAATAGATGGGAACAGAAAGGCTTCATTATAGAGACATCACTCGATTCTTCAAAGTCCTTCTGAGTTAGCGCTAAGAAGAAAGGACAGTAACCTGCTGAGAAAATGGCTGCTAATGCATCAGCTGACACCCCAGTTGAATTCTCCTTCCATGATGGGGGAAGCAAACAACTGGACATCAGCTGACTTGCAAACAGACTGTGACCTAGTCAGGACTTATTTCAGTGCTGTTGACAAGCTTTTGAACTGTCCCTTTGTCTGGAATCCTAGTGGGAGTTACTCCCTGGAGCGTGGAACGTGGTGTGCTTCCAGAGGAGAGAAAGGCCTGCCCTCTGCCCTAACATGGAAGCAGGGCGACTGCAGAGGGAATAAGAATACTGTCCCCCATCACAGGCGCTCCATGACAGAAAAGAGCCGAGGCCTGGAAACGTTTCCTTAGAACTGCCCCTGACTGTGTGCCCTGGACAGTTGGTGGGACAGGTATGACCACAGAGAGCTCTGTGGGAGAGCCTCACCCAAGCCTCAGGACAGCCTCTCTAGGAAGGCCCCGTCCCGCCTACCTGGCCCAGTACTGACCGCTTCTCCTCCTCCAATCCC